AGAAGAGGAGAAGAGGAGAAGAGGAGAAGAGGAGAAGAGAGAAGAGAGAAGAGAGGAGAAGAGAGGAGAGAGGCGAGAGGAGAGAGGCGAGAGGAGAGGAGAGAGGAGAGAGGCGAGAGGAGGGAGGAGAGAGGAGGGAAGACTCTTTCGAGATGTCTGGAACCAGGCAAAGTCCATCTCTTGAAAACCCCAGGCTTTCGTTTCATGGTCGTAGTGTCCTGGAACCCAACGCGTCTAGATCTTTAGACCTTCTGCTTCTACACCTCTAGACCGTAGACAGGTAAACACACCGATTGGGGTCGCTTGCCGGGATAATTTTCCTCGTGGCGGGTGTTGGTTCTCTCGATATCCCTGGTCATGGTGGTCGCTGGTTGTCGTTGCTTCCGGCCTTTGCACGTTTCTCGAGAAAGCTAGTAGGAAGCTAGTAGGAACAAGTGCATCGCTACTAGTAACAAGTGCCTTACTAGTAGTAACAAGAAGCTACTAGGAACAAGTGCCTTACTACTAGTAACAATAAAAATTTAATTAGAATTGTAATTACTAGCTTCTTGTTACTGCCAGTAAGGCACTTGTTACTACTAGCGATGCACTTGTTCCTACTAGCAAAGGAATCTACTAGCCGAAACGGCCCGGCCTTACCCCGCGGCCTCGCAGGTGGTGAAGATCCGCCTTGCACAGCATGTGGCGCCCGGCTGGGCCACGATGGAGCTGGAGGTGCCGGTGATTTTTGCGAAGAATGTGGGATGTAAAGCTCGGGAAAACAGCTTTGAAGCATGAGATGTAGGGGCTGGCTCAGTTTTTTAATTTTAGACATATACAGAGTAAGTCTTGAATCATTATCTATACCTGACAAGAATATTCTTATGGCTGGAAAACAAATCCGGGTGGTGCAGAAGCACCCAGATTTAATCGGGTCTAATTTTATGGGGGTGAATTGAAAGTATAGTTGGAATGTAGCCAAACGAACGAAACTCCTCTGGCCCTCCGAAGTCCTGTGCGCAAGAGACCAGACACAAACAAACACACGAGTCCGCTCGCGTATCGCCACGTTCGGCACGTCACGCCGCCGCGCCGTGTGTGTTGCGCGCCGTGCTCCGTTTCACCATGCCGTTGAGGACCGCTTGGTGGACTTCGTGGGTCACTTGGTGGACTTGGGTTCCAGATGTCAAGGGAGTTGGTGAAGGCAGCGACGGGGCACAAGAAAAAAATTGATGTTCCATTCGAACTCCTTCGGCCGTTAGGACTTTGTGGTGGAAACACTTGATACCGTGGCGAGTCTGATCCTTTTTTGGATTCGTGCTAGCCAACGATCAGATACGGTGAAGGACGGCCAGCTCGTTCGGGTGCGTATTGGATGAACCAAGTGGAAGACATGCACTGGTCGCCGAGCGTTTTGATCCTTGGCTGGTCCGGCCGTTTTACACTGCTCGGACGGCGCCGAAACAAACGATTAGATTTCCAGGCATGCTCGAACGAATCCTTCCCAATACGAGAGTCTTTACCTGTCAAACCAGAACTGCAATGATTGGGATCATTTCTTCTGGTAGTGGTGCGAGAGCGCAAGCTCTTCAATCTTTTACAACCTTTTGGTTTGGTGCCTCCCTTCTCTGATCCAATCACCTGAGGCTCCGAAATCCGCTTTCTCTCCCAGTTCTTCGAGCACGATGGGCTCCGGGACTACATCGCCTACCGCCGCGTCCTCGGGACCGCGGTGCGGCGGTCCGGAGTCCGGGTGGCCGGTCGCGGAGTCCGAAGGTGATTGCGAGGTGAATCCTGGTTGCCTGGTGGAAAGGACTTGGGTCTCAAAACGGTCACAAGATCACTAGAATCGCACTAGATCAATGAGATTGGTTCAGTCCATTTCCGGCGAAATGGGAAGTATTCAGGGTTGACATATGAGCAAACGGCATGCAAATCAAACGCTTGCCCGCTGAGGTCAAGGGAAGTCCTTGGAAGATGATGAAGGTCGAGACCGAAACAAGGAGCTTCGCAACTTCTCAGAGATTCTTTTGATTGACACCTTGAGCAACGGGGCACCCTTTCTATCCCTTTCTTGGCATTGTTTTGCTCAGAGTGTGAGCTTCCCAACTCAGACTAGATCTTCATGAATTCAGGTTGCGCATCATGGCTCTCCACATCAAATTTTAAGAAGTGATGTAGCGCAGCAGCCTGCCTTAGTTGCCATTAGTTGCCAGGCAGCGCCATCCATCTGGAGGCACTATTTCGGCCAAATCCGCATAGAAACAGATCTTGGTAATTAATCACTACCCCTTCCCGCTTGGAAATGAAGGGGGGCGTCTGAAAATGTAACTTGCATTTTCTTGGGGGGGGGGTAGGACCAGGAAATATGCAAGTTACATTTATTGAGGTCGTGAAAATAAGGGGGGACCTCCCCCCCCCCAAAATGTAAGATTCTACCTCCAAGGTCGCAAGTTATATTTTCTGGACACCCTCCCCCCTGGAAAAGGGTGTAAAGGGAGGGGGGTTAATTGTAACTTGATTTCTTTGACACTCTGCATATCAGGACGCCTCAGGACACTTTGGAACACTTGAAATCCAATTGTATTATGAGATATTATGAGAAAGCAACAGAAGGGAAAGGAAAGAAAAGAAGGACATGAACAGGACAGGGAAGAAAGAAAGAAAGAACAGAGTTGACAGGTGGGTCGTACTCGATGTGTTTCACGGATCAAGAGAGTGCGTGCCTGTTCCACCCTGTACGTCCTGTTCCCAATTGTTCAAGCCATGCTTGACCTCAAACATGTAACTTGCATTTTTGTTGATAATAAATAGCCCTAAAATGTAAAATTTACATTTTCAGGCACCCCCTGCCCAGAAGATGCAAGTTACATTTTTGGTGGTCCCCCCCTCCTAAGGAGTAGGGATGGTAATTATTCTTGGTTCTAAACAGCCCCGCTCTTTTCCACCTGGTGTTGAAACATGCCTCTTCATTGTGTCGAAAGCACGCTTCGTCACGCTTCGGCAGGATGCAGGATTGGTGGAGAGCATGTGGCATGTTGTCGATGCTCTTTGCAAGGCGTGCATTGGACGCCGTTCGTTTTGTCCGTGAACTTGGCAGTTCAGCAGGTCTTTGAGTCTCAACGTCACTGTGGACTCTTGATTCAATGAACATCTCCGATTTCTTCATCAAGAAGTCCACAAATGAGCTACCTATAGGTCCTTGTGTTGACCGAACTTCCTGACCTACCGAGCTCTTCGGACCGTCCGCCCGGTGCGCAGACCGAGCCCGTCCTCCTCGAGCGGTCTGCGCTCGCGTCTAGGCCGAGTTCACGGGGAGCATGCGGGCTGGAGAGGCGGACGCCAAGTTGCAGGCGCCGGTGGGGTGAGACGGACAGCGACGGACAGCGACGGGGGAGGGGGTGAACGGATGGTTGGCCGGTGCCGCAGCAGTACACTGGGACTCGCACTGAATGCGATGTGATTGTTTGGATGGACAAAAGGAGTAGGGTGGATTGAATGCTGCAGAGGGTCATATGAGTCGCATTCGTTTCTTTCAAACCATCTACCCGGACTTGGTCTTCGACTGCTACGGTCTACCCAGAGGGTGGCCCTCCACGCCTCGAGGCTTTGCTTCGTGGAAAGATCAAGTTCACGGTGCTGTTTCTGAGCAGAAACAGTGGTGGGAGGGATTGGGAACACCTCACTCGCCAGCAGGAGCTCAGAGTTTCGGAGTTCGGAGCTTCGGGTCTCAGTTTTGAACCCATGGGGCGCGCGGGCAAAGACGAGCCGCTGGAGATCCACGGTCAAACGGCCAAAACACCTGTGACCATGGGCTCAAACTCTACTCATGGGCCTGACAACGGCTAAATCCAGCTTTCAAATGCTGATCCACTCTCCCGTTCCTCACGGACTGGACCTCCCGTGGGGCGTTTTCGGGTTCCGCCGTTCCACTCCCGTTCCACTCCGTTCGATCGCCCCCCAGGTGTGCACCGGAACGCGACGCGCACGGCGCGGTGGTGACGGCGGAGGTCGACTTCGCGGTGGAGCTGCTTGGATCCGGACGGCGCTGGGCGTGGCTGGGCGTCGGCCGCTCGTCGGTCGTGGTGTTGAAACTGAGAACGAATGGGACTCCGAGAGGCGAATTGGCTGAAAGCTTGGTCCGTCATGTTGGGCATCGAAGTCGTCTTCCACGAACTGCTGTCTTCCGCAGTTCCTGCTTTTTCAGTCACTCATCGATGGTGGTGTGAAATGGTGCGTGGGGAGGTGCAAGGTGAGTAAAGCTGTTGGGCCGCCTGTTCGTCCCTTTTTAAATCCAAGAGACTGCAAGGACCAGTGAAGATAGTGGAGCGTCCAGACATGCATGTTGCTTTTTACTGCCCACCAAGGTTCCCAAGTGCCTATCCTTCAGGTTCTGATTTTGGAACGAGCAACTTTCTCTTCACACCCCTTCCACTCAGGTCAACTTGTTAAGGTCCATTCACCACCATTGATCAGAGAAAAGTGACTAAGAATCTCTTTCAGACTGTGACTGCGGCCTAGAGATGTATTGGAACCAATGAAATAGAACACTCCTACCGGAATAGATCTGGCGCGGCCATCAGAACGTCTCCGTCTTCCAGGCTGGACCTGGAAGACAAGATCGCGGACCGGGCAGACGAGCGGCTACAGCGCTTGAGAAAAGTCATGAATGAGATGGACAAGAAGGACTGAAGCTCATCCAATTCGTCCTGGTGGACTCGACAGCTGGTTTTTGACTCGGTAGCTACTAGTGAATGGTGGTTATCTTGCGAACTCTGTGGCAGATGGTACTGGATAACATGGGGTCCTCCAGCAGAACACACCTCTCAGGTTTCTAATCAGTCGTTGATTTTGGGTGGCTTTTGACATGTTTGGCAGGCTTCTCTGAGCTGTTTCTTGTATCTGATCAACTAAAAAAAAATAGAGGGTGACCCTTCAGGGTGTGAAGACGCTGAAGACGCTTGAAGACAACCGGAACGCTTGACAGCTCTTGAGCCCGGACCTCGCCCCCGGACGTTCGCCCCGCGAATTCCGGGGCGCTCAGAGCCCGCTCGGTGCGAGGTCCGCTCATCGAGAGGTGCAGACGACGTGCCCTGTCCGCCAGACGTGCCCTGTGCGTGTCCACGGCTGGTCGGCATGCAGTTCCGCAGTTCCGCAAGTGATCGAAGTGTCCTTGGACCACTCTCCCGCTGCTCTGTCAAGAAACCGTGGGTCTCTTTGGACAAGGGGACAGTGGAGATACTGAGTTTTTGGAGCAGGTTATATGGTTTAGTGTTGATGAAATAGACTGGGCAGCCGGTTAGCTTGATCACGTTCAGTAGTCGCCCACCAACTATGTTCCCCAATTAGATCTCACATATTATTCCACCTACAAAAACAAGAGAGAAGACTCATGCCTCGCAGGGGTCAGCAGGCTTTCCCTTAGCAGGCCCCGACCGCCCTCCCCAAACGCGGTGCGGACTGTCCGAGCACCGAGAAGCGGAGCCAGCTGCGCCAGCTCGCGCGCGTGCTCGAGCGGCGTAGCGCGTTCAGGCGCCCTGTGACACGCAGATCCTGCACCCGCGGGAATTGCTGGCCAAGCTGATTTCGAGCTTCGACTGGCGCCGCGGGTTGAGCGACCAGACCATGCGTGAGGGTCATGTGCCTTGGAGCGGATGGAGCGGGGGGGGGGGGGGGGGTGGTGAGGGTGAGGGTAGTTGGGGTTGAGCCAGGTTTCGGGGCTTCAGACATCTTCAGACAAAAACAAGACGTCCTTTCGATGTATTTTGCTCGAACCAAAGGAGAGGTTGAGCAGGTTAGGCCTGATCTTCCGTGTTCTTCGTCTTCCGTGTTCTTCGATGGCCACCCTTTCCACCGGGTGACACGAGTTCCATGCGTGGAGGGTGGTTTCAGGAGGTCGGAGCTGGTTTCTGAAAGGCCTACGCCTCCAATCACTTGGCTTCCAATCGAAACAGCTGACTGGTGCTGATTGGTTCGAATTCACCGGCCAAGCCAAGTCTACAGCTAAGCCAAGAGCTGCCAGGATCAGATCCGCTGTATGACCTGCCGCTTCCTCGGCGATGATTGCAGCGTCGACATTGGGAGGCGCCCAGAGATAGGGATGAATTGGGTGTCGTGTTGCAAAGGAGTCAAGAATTCAGACTCTCGCAAGGGTATGGGTGTTGGCTGGACGTCGCATGATTTTGGCCACAGAAGCGCCAGCGCATCAGATGAAATTCCGGCGAGGGGGTTTGCCCACGAATGTGCACGATCTGAATCCCATGCTGTTCCATGATTTGCTTCCTCTTCCAGCACGAGCTATCCAACCCCGCGCTCCGTCGGTTCCGCGCTCCACACTCCGTCGGTGCCGCTGTCCGAAGCGACGGGAACCGAAGGTCCAAGGATCTGCGCTCCGCCCTGCGGCGGCTGCCGAGCTTCCTCTTCTGCACGCGACTGCTCTGCCGACGCACCGCGCCCACGGCGCCCACCGCCGAGGTGGCCCGCCAGCGCGGCGTGGGGGTGGCGTGGGGGTGGATGAAGAGGTGGTAGTTGTTTCGCAGACTTTGTGCAGATTTGTTGCGCTTTTGAAGGACAATGCAATGATCTTTAGTGTACCTCAAGACACATCCCTTGGGTTTCGGTTCATCAAGAACTCCAATCTGGAGAAGATCTGACTCGGCAGGACTTGTGCGAATGCCGTGTGAGAGCCTCAATGCTTTGAGTAGCCTTGCACCGCTTGGATTCTATCGCAAGTGATGCCGATCCTTTTATGACCCTCGACGAAACAACAACACCGCTCCAAAATGGGAGGCCCTTTCAACCTCCCTGTGTCAGGTAGACCAGTTACGAAAGCTTCTTCAACTCCAAGCACAGGATATTCCAACAAGGTCAGCCTTTGGTTTTTGCCAGGATTGGCGTGCGCAGACTTCGAGCTTTCTAGAGGCGGTGGCGCAGACCAAGGGAAGCCAATGCTTCATCCGGGCAGAGGTGAAGGAGGACCGGTGTAGGACCGTCATAGAGCAAGGAAATGGGGTGTTCAAATGGGGTGTTCTGTCTCGTGTCCCGGTTAAAGGTTGGAGGTTGGCAGAGGTGTCCAATGAAGTGACCCTAGGATTGAGTGAGCATGTGGCTGACCAAGGGGACTCGTGTGGCTTTTCGGTGTGGCTATCCGAATTGGGGGGGCCCTGGTGGAAGGGAAAGTAGCTGAGCACACAGTGGTTGAAAGATATCCCAATTTTGAGACAGTACACTTTCTTTTGGTGTCTTGCCATCTCTCCCCTTCTGACATACCCAGTGACTCAGTTGCAACCCGAATAGCACAGCTATGCACAGCCGGCCACTTTTCGGAGTGGAACCATGAGCACGTGCCTCTCGCGTCACCTGTGTCGCCTAGTCGCTGACGGTGTCGTTCTTGGCCTCGCCCGCTCGACACCTGGCGCTCGGCACCTGGCGTGGGTCAACAGGAGGGTCTCTCCTTGCGGATCTTTTCCCGAGCAGACTGGCTGGTGAATGCGGCTGAACGGCTTTGTGCGCTGGCAACCCAGCAAGATGGGGAAGAAGAGGGGCGAGGGGCATGGCAGTGCAACTGAAAAAGGACCTCAGAAGCCATACCTGCGGAAGTGTCCGTGGTAATACTTGATTCGCCGGAGAGGTTTGACCCGTTTGTCTCTTTCTCCTGCTCAGCAGGCTGGGCCAGCATCCAATTGGCTCCTCAAGTTTTCGTTTTCCTTTTGTCCATCCCGCCCATTGGTGTTGGATCCCCACGCGTTTGGTAAACAATCTGAAGTCTTTCTGTTTAGCTGCGCACCACAATACGAGCCTTTGGGCTGCTGAACATTTTATCCGGAAAACGCCCTGGTTTGCCCTCCCTCTTACAATCCTCTACAGCTTTTCAGAGTCCACGATCACGATTTGGACCAGCATTGGCCAAATCCTATCGTCCCAAGTCTGGCTGAGGCGTCCCAAACAGAGGCCTTGACCTTATCCAGCCTGGTGGGCCCTGGCCGCCAAGCGCGCGGCCTGCGGATGGACTGGGAGAAGACGCCACCCGGACCGGTTTCGACCGGGGGGGGAGGATGGTTGATGGGATGGTTGGGTTTGGAATAGTGAGGATGCTTGGAAGGCAGAACTCAGATGAACTCAGGCTGAACATGTTCAAGGAGTGTGTGGCAGGGCGTAAAGTGATGTGGTTTCGTGGCAGCCGAAGGGGATCATGTTACGTGAACTCCCCCAAGTGGTATCCATGTAGGGGGGAATTCACCTTGAGTCTTCAAGAGAATGGTCCTTGAGTCTTCAAGAGTCTGGGCGAAGCATGGCGTCGGGAGTTTGTGGAACGAGTCCCTGAAGTGGTGGCCTAAGTCCCTCCAGTCGCCCCCGGAGCAGTGGGAGTAACACATCACTGAAGAATCTGAGTTGATCAGGCCTCATGAGATTCTTTTTCCACAGGTTTAAGTGCCTAATCATTTCAGACGAGCATCACCTCAGCTGCATAGACTTGGCGATCACCAGGGTGCGAGGGAAACGACCTCCAGGGGCGAGTCAAACCACCTCCTCCGTCCGCCACGTGGTCGATGTTTCCGAGGTTGGAGGCGGTCCATGACATTCCAGCCTTGCTCAAGGAGATGCTACCGGAGAGTGCCACCGGACCGGTTTCTTGGAGCTTTCTTTGGGCACAAGCATCTAGAAGAAGAGATGGCTGGAATGAGACAAGCTTGCCCACCTTAAATGTCCGGAGCACATTGGCAACCTTCTTGCTTACGGGGCAGATTCAGTCTCTGTTCACCTTGCTGCCATCGGCCAACGTCCAAACCCTGGAGCCGTCGATCAGCCCGAACGACCGGTTCGGCCGATCCCAAGGGGGCGACGGCGGAGAGCGGACGGCTGGGCTGTGTACGATGGTGTGGAAGCGACGCTGCGCACGACGTGACGCTCCTCTTCGGGAGCTAACAAGACGCCGTCCGGGGACGTGACGCGAACTCGAATCACCTGTGAAGGACGAGACCACTGACAAGTGGCGAGGGGTGGTGCTTATCTCGGACACTTCTAGTTGCTTTGTTCGGCCCGTCGACAGGTGTTCGGCCCGTCGACATGCTGAGGGCAGCTTTCACATGGACTCGCCCGGGAATTGGGCACGAGAACGTTTCAGTCTGACGCCGTCGCAGTCGCCCTCTCCCTGAGGAAGAGCTCAGTGGTGCCTGCCAAAGTCATGCAGGTAGGGAGATGGTCGTGCGTGTCCAGCGTCGTATGAATGCAAGAGCGGTGGTGTCATGCAGACGTTCTTGGCGTGTTTCATGACTTAGGGGAATGGATTTGTAGTATAGACGTTTCATAGATTTTTTGCTCACTTCACAGTATAAGGGTGGACATCCCTCGTTTGGCGTTTTCATGACACATGTGTGCAGGTGTACGGGCTGTAGCCTTGTTGCTTGTTCTTGTGTTCACTGGACATTTGGATGATGCGGGGACTTAGATCATCCAACTCCAGGAGACCCAGCAGATCTTTCGTGACTCGGTCAGAATGGATTTGTGGGTCCAGGACCAGGGTGACTAGGTGCAGGTGTTTAGGGTTTAGGGTTTCTTCATTTGCTATTGCCAATGGTTGACTGGGATAGTATGGACAATATCATCGTTGGAGCTCCCCAGAAGGACCACGTGGCCATGGGCGGGGTGATCTCAAGAGTGAAGCTCCATCCCCAAGCAAAGATTAAAGCAAGCTTGGAAGACCATTCTCCACCAACCACTCCGACCACCCCTGGAGACCCTTGTTAGGGTTCATCGATCATCCCCCCCCTGCTTCATGATACCTTGAGAGGTGGCACCAAGCCTGAGAGTAAGGTTTACTTGATGTACCTAAGGCTCATGTGTTATACACTCTAGATTTTGCAAGATGAAAGCAGCAGAAACTCCTGATACTGATTGGAGTCTTGACTTACCTACGCACCAGCATAGTTTGTAAATGTACCTGAAATGACTGTCGCTTTCGACGCGTCCCATGTTTGCTTTAGTTGCTTCCATCATGTGCTGCTCTTTTTAGGCTGTCAAGTCATGTTCCTTGACTGGAGCATGTCAAGACCAAGGCCACATAAAGAACATGCCACAATCGAAGCACCTGGCCCACTGGTCCCACGTTTGATACCACCGCTCTGGTTTTCTTGCGCGGTCCTGGAAGGGTGTAGAAAGGCCTCCCTAACAAAGGAGGCGAACACCGAGTCCAGTCCCCCAGCCCTCCGCAGCCACCCTGATCCTTTTTGGGTGGTGCAGCCCTGTGCAGACACTATACCAAGAGTTCCAAAGGAGGGGCTCTAGCCGGATCAGGTTTGCACCGCCATGCAAACCCCCGGCAAATCACCGAGGAAGCTATTGTGCCTTGGACGAACTCCTGGACTTTGTCGACTTCCTCAAGGACTTCAGGCAGCACCTCGACTCCCACGCCCACGCGCGCGGACCGCGCGGGGCGGGGCGGACGAAAAAGGCTTTCAACACGCGGACCCCAGAGAGTCCGATAGGGACGGAGGAACCATTCTGCTGTGCCCAAGAGAGTCCAATGATTTTCACTTTGGACGGATTCGCTTTTCGTCCGCTTGAGCGTTTCCCTTCGCTTTTCCTTGCGCTTTTCGATCGCTTTTCGCTTCCTTTCCTGCTGACACGATACCGCGCGAAACCCGCGGAACCGGCCGAGGAAAGGCGCCGCCCATGCACGGCCGCAGCCGCGGCCGCCACCAAAGCCGCGGCCGCCGCGAGAGGCGGCGGCCGAGAAGCTGAGAGGGGGACATCGAAGAGATTCTCAAAATCATTGATTTTTCGCCCACCAAAGAACCAGTGGAGGTGGCAGAACTCAGGCTGTTGGTGGTGGGCACTGTAAATCGATCTGCTCAGTGTTTTCAATGCTGCGCAAGATCCTTGGTTTTGAACTGACGGGTTTCTCAAGTTCAAGGGTGGTGAGGGAATCTTCGGGAGTCTTCATGGCCAACAATGATCTGACCCCCAAATCAGGCACGCACAGTGTATCGCTTTGATGTTTCTTGATTTGTCTATCCCCGGGGAATTCAAGTCAATCATGTTTGGCCTGTTGCCACTTTGTTGGGCGAGCCAAGGGCTTGGAGTGCCCTGATGACGTCTCCTTCAGGGAGAATGGTTCCCACAAAACACCTGGTGGTGAGCTGGTGAAATTGGGATAGCCGATAGCGGGGCTTCCGGTTTCCACAAAACTTTCTGGGACTATGTGTGAATTCAAAGCTGTCTGCCCTGGCTTTGCCAGGCAGGGCAGCGTCAGTTTTCCTTTTCTTCAGGTTTGTGGTAAAAGCTACTATTTGCATCTATTTTCACAACGTTTGGACAGGTTTTTGCTTGGTTTTCCAATCACATTTTAAAATCAGGCCCTCATTGCAATCGGAGATATCAAAAGCCAGGAAACATCCCTCGTGGTCTGAGGATCCTATTTTCTTGCTTGTTTGGAAGAAACGAACCCTCAGATGCTGCGGTTTTGGCCAACATGACAACCTTGTCGACACGTACGTGCTTTGTTGAATGACGGCCCCGAACGTTTTGGAACAGCGGCACGTCAGTGATCATTGAACCGAAGCCTCTGCGCTCCTTTGCAGCTTACTGCCGCCGCGTGTTTACAGTTTACAGTATTGGACATTCACATCTCACAGCTCCGCCCCACGAGCGGCTCAAGATGCCACCTTTTCTGCCTGATGTCTCCTCTCTCGCTTCATTTTTCGCCCGACCTCATCTGACCTTCACAGGTGCCCCGCCCCTGCGCCTGCTCGCCGGACCGCCGGTCTCCGGACCGCCGGTCGCGGTCGCGGTCGCGGGGCCGGCGACCGGCGGCACGGCGGTCGCCGTCCTACAAGCCCTATCGGGGTCCGGAGGAGTTTCGGGAGGGCTGGGGAGGCAGATGAGCTGCCCAGAAACGGGTTTTCTGGGCTGGGATGGACCTCTGATGAGGGTTTACCAGTTTACCATGATTTACCCTCACACAGACTATATTGTGAACTCCTGAAAGGGTTGCTGTTAGCTTTCAGGAGCGTGGGGAGAGAAACCCGAAGGATCTTCAAATGCCCCGTCAACCATGGATAAATGTGACCAGCTACTGATCGACTCCAACGTGCCATTCATGCAACATAATGCAACATGAGGCGGAGGAGCAACAAGTCTTTTCCTTTAGTGGTTCAACATCCAGGAAGAGCCTGGTGCCGCCACAGCGGTTCTTCTCCACCACATTGCTGACCTGGGATTTTCGGGGGCTTTCGCCCGCCAGGAGACATCGTAGCTTGATGGCAGGGCAGAGCAAGAGGCGGATGACAAGACTGTTTGGGCTGGTAGAACTTCAGTTGATAGCTGAAGCCAACCCCCCTGAAATGATAATGTTTTCACTTTTTTTTTGTTGTATTTCACTTCATTGAATTCTACAGAATATAATTGCAAGTTTTCTACAATGTTTTTCAGGAACATATGAATAACCAGTTGATTTTGCAACAAACCCTATGGCATCAGAGTTATAATATATATGTATATGTGCAAGAAAAAGACGAAGGAGTTTTCTGATGGACAACTTAGGTAGGTCTGGGTGGGGTCAGGGCTTGAGTATGCCATTTTGGCTCAAGCCCTGACCCTTTGTTTGAGGGTCATGTGGTGAGTCGCGCTCCTCGCGGGCGGCTTGCTGGGGGGGGATGTTCCCCTCAGCCATGGCGGCTGCGGCGATGTCGTCGGTGTCGGCCATCTTGGATCATTTCCAGGTGGCCGACGCTTTGTGGACGGCATTTGTTCGCGAGGCTGGCGATCCGAACGACGACCTTCGGCTCTTGGCAGCCCTTCCGGGCAATGTGGTCGCGGCCTCGCTGGCCCAAGCGACATTCGACGACGGCACCCCTTTGACCGCGGTTCAGGCCGCCCAGGTGGGACTCGTGTGGAAGCTGGCGAGGAGGATGATGTTTGTGAAGGGGGGTGGCACCTGGGAGGACTGGTCAGAGGAAGACCCATGGAGCGACTCCCCTGCTTCACCACCGAGGAGTTCGTCGGCAAGGGCATCAGCGGCAACCGGGGAGTTTGTGAAGGAAACGAAGGAAAGAACACTGAAATTTACCCAGGTCCTCGACCAAGGGGACGATGGAGAATTCGAGGTACTCAACGAGGAGGCCAAGATGATACTCCTCCAGAAGTATGTCATGATGACGGGAGCCTTGCCCGAAGAGGAGGAGGAGCCTACGATAGAGCAGTTGTCAGCCCTGAAGAAGAAGTTGAGCTTGGGAAAACCCCCGTACTGCGACTTTGGCGTGTTCGTCCCGTTCGGCAGGAAGGCACTACGAGCTTCGAAATACAAGACCTGGATTCCGACGGCAGATGGCTATGTCGCGAAGGAGCTTCCGGGTCCGGCGAACTTCACCCAGTGGAGGGCTTGCTATCGGGTCTTCACGACGGCCATGCTGATGTTGGAGGAGTGCACCCTGGCACCATTGCATGCCTACGAGCTGTTCGTGGAGAAGTTGACCAGAGCGTACCCAGAGGCTTGGCACTTGGTGTATGCAGCGGACGAGATGGCGCGGGGCGAACTTCTATCGAGGTTGAAGTTAAAGATCAACATGGACATGAAGGGAGGAAAGACGGCCCCATTCGCCTTCGAAGAGAAAAAGCCATGGGAAGCAATCTTCAAAATGGTCCCCGGCGAACTGAAATTTTGGCAGGACCAGGTACATGGCCCGGCTCTGACGTGGTTGGCTTCAGGCTCAAAAGGAAGAGTGCAAACCCCTCAGGAGACCATCGCACAAGGAACAGTTCGAGGAGGAGCGGATGCACTCTTGCCATCAATGGAGTCGGGAGCATTCAACCAGAGTTCTTCGACGGCTACCTCATCTACCAGGAGGCAGGTGAATCGGGAAAGAAAGGAAGCGAAGAAGAGAAAGTGGCAGGCAGAACGCGAAGAGCTCCAACGACTTCGAGATGCACGGCACGAAGGCAGCGGCGAGCGAAGGTCGGGAGGAAAAGGAAAAGGGAAAAAGGGAAGTGGCGGGAAGCAAGCGGATGCTATTTGCTTCTCCTGGAACAACGGGAACTCGCCGTGTGGGTCGCTGCCAGCTGGAGCCGAGTGCGCAAACACGATCAAGCGGATCCACAAGTGCTCATCATGCGGGTCGCCAGGTCATCCGGCGCATCGATGTCAGGGCAAGAAGTGAAGAGCACTGGTGACGGACCTCAACAAGGCGGACACGAAGGAGGCGATGAAGGCGGTGAGGAGAAGAAGCAGGACCAAGAGAAGGAGCGCCCAAAGAAGGAAGAGAACCAGAAGGCCCTGGACGAGAAGATTGCGAAGTACATCAAACAGCGCAGGTTCCGCTTCCTCCACCACTTTGCAGGCCCAAGGGATCCACTGGGGGCTGAGATCCATCGGATAGCCAAGAAGAAGGGCTTGAACGTCGAGGTGATCTCCGCTGAGCGAGATTGGGGCCAGGACCTTTGTGCGGATGAACCATACAACACCCATCTACGTTGGGCCCGGGAAGGCCTGATTGATGGGTTTCACGCCGGCTTTCCCTGCTCGACGTTTTCGCGCCTGAGGTTTAGAGAAGCAGCTGGCCTACCCGGACCCGTCCGCACTCGAGCTGAACCATACGGGAAGGCTTCGAACAACGAGGCCCAGCAGAGGGAGTGCGATAGAGGGACGGTGATGCTGGCTCGATCGACGCAGTTGGCGGAGGAGGTCATGAGGTCACCGACGACGTCAATAGTGGTGAAGCCTACGAGTTTGGAAAACCCGCCGCCTTCGGAGGTGGAGGGACACCTGTCGACCTGGGGCATGAAGGAGATGGTGCAATACCTTCGTCTACCGGGCGTGAAGATCTCCCTGTTCAACACCTGCGCATACCAATCGAGCAGGAGCCGAGGTGACCGCCATTGGAAGCCCCAGCAGTTCGCAGGGTCGCTGTACGGGATCGAGTCACTCGACAGGGAGTGCAAGTGCGGCAGTGCCTCTCACCGGCCGATCGTGGGGAAGAGGGAGTCGAAGGAGTCGGGCGAATACCCGTGGGAGCTTTGCAACGCCTATGCACACCTCCTCATGCAGCACTTCGAGAAGATGGCAACGGCGGAGTACTTGGAGGGGAGGTTGAAGGAAGGTGAACAAGACCACGATGACATCGCGACAAGCAACGCCGAGGCCTCGCAGGCGAGAGACGTGAGGAGGAGAGAAGGCATAAAGACATCACCCTCACCGGTCAAGGACGCGCTCGAAGTGAGAGAGAGGAAGAGGAAATGGCAGAGAGAGGAGGAGGAAGAAAGGGCTCGTCTGCAAGCGAAGAGGAGGGAAGAGATGAAGAAGGAGGCGGCTCATGGCGCTCAAGGTGACGACGAAGGGCAGGCGAGAGGCAGTGGAGTGAGGAGGGAAGTGAGGTCTCGGTCAAGGGGCAGGAGAAAAGGGCACACCACGAAGGGTCCAGGAGAGAAGAACGATAGACAGGACCTGAGGTGGAAGCCAGGGGAAGGCAAGTACGGCTTGCTGAAGGAGGACAAGAAGAAGGAACAGGACCTGGGGCAGCAGGTTTTCATCGGGGGGCTGAAGAACCCGACGGAGGTGGTTGAAGGACTTCCAACACTACAGAACTTGGGAAGACAGATCTTGGGCGCTTGGGACAGGCATTGCAACAAGTACCCCATGGCGGTGAAGGTCGGGGAAAGCTACGGCACACCAGACTGCAGCCTCGAAGGGAGGATGATCGAAAGGTGGAAGGAGGAATTGAGGAAGCTCACAGGTGCTCGAGGAGGGGGCACCTTGAGGTTGAAGGGCAAGTGGTCGTTCACCTCTCCGCTGGAGGGCAACTTATTCGAGGCTTGGGGAAGGAGGGGCGGCGACCCGGAGACGGAGGTTCACCGCTGGATCAGGGATGGGGTTCCTCTGGGGATAAACTGTCCCATTAGGACGTGTGGCATCTTCCCTCCTTCAACCAAGCCGGAGGAAAAGTCTACGCTGGGGGACATACAGGCGGCCGAAGGGTTGAGGGAGGACATCGGGAACTACACCTCGGTACAGGAACAGGCGGAGGACGCGGAGATCGAGGTGGGCAGACTCTGCAAGCTGGGCTATGCGGTGAAGGTGAGGAAGAAGGAAGTGGAGGAGGCCGGTTTCAAGGGCACGACGATAAGCCGGCTGGGACTCATCGTGAAGGACAAGGAGGACGGGTCGAAGAAGAGGCGCATCATCATTGACCTGAAGAGGTCAGGAGGTAACAAAAAGGCAGAGCTGCCAGAGCGCATCATTCTCCCGAGGCCCATGGACGCAGTGGCGATGTTGAGGAAGATGCACGCAATGCATGCAGACCAAGGAGCACAGCAGGACCGGGCTATGGAACTGGTCATGATCGACATATCTGACGCGTATATGCATCTGGCGGTCAAGGAGGAGGAGAAGGGACATTGCCTAGCACCAGCCCTGGACGACGATCACTGGCTGCTGTTCGTTGCCTTACTCTTTGGCTTCAAGACCGCACCTTTGACGTGGAGCAGGGTGGCAGCGATGGTAGCGAGGCTGGTCCAGTCAATAATCCCACCGGAGTACGGCATGCACCAGGTGTACTTGGATGACAGCTTGTGGGCTCTGTGCGGACGCCTACCGGTGCGCAACAAGATGCTGGCTTGCATTTTAACCACGATGGCAGCCCTGGGCCTGAAGCTGTCCCTTGCAAAAGGAGCCCGGGCAGCGTCAGTGACGTGGGTGTGAGTGAACTTCAAGCTGGTGGCACCGGACTACGACCACCTGTTGCTGACGTTGCCGGAGAAATTCATGGCAGAGTTGAGGAAGCAGCTGGAAGCATGGGATAAGAAAGGCATGATTGCAGCTTCGGAACTCCGCAAGGCAGCGGGGCGGGTGGCATGGTTGGCGGGCATTCTACCACGAGCAAGGTGGGTGACATCAACCTTTTATGCCACCCTCTACGACCATGAGGAGGACGTGGCGCAGGGGACGGAGGCCGTCAGACGGGAACTACGGAAGGACAGCCGCCCTAAGGACCATCTCATACCCGTGAAGAGGCTGGAGAAGGCGAGAGCGTGGCTGCTGGCGTACATCAAGGCGGCGCAGGGCAAACCAATTCGGAAGTTTAACCTGTACAAGGGAGGCAAGGCCGACCTGACCTTGCTGACGGACGCCTCACCTCAAGGACTAGGGGCAATTCTGTTGGTGAACGGCCGGGTTACTAAAGCGATGGCATCCCCAGTGGGCGAGTTAGACGCAAAGCTGCTAGGGTTCGAACTCGGACAATCGAGCTCACAGGGCATTGTGGAAACTCTGGCGATCCTGGCAGCACTACGACACTGGGGACGCCTGCTGACAGCGGTCAACCTGGCCATATCCGTTCAGTCGGATTCGATCACAGCCCTGGCCATGACCCAAAAGTTCTCCAACAGCGGGTCAGCCCTCAATTATCTAGGGGCTGAACTGGCGGTGGCGTGCGAGGCGCTGGGTTTGGCCGAGCTGAAACCGGTGCACCTACCGGGAACAGCGAACAAGGAAGCCGACTTTCTGTCCCGGCCGGACACATGGAGCAGCACTACCTTGCCGGCAGCACTGGAGGGCATCACGATCGAAACGCCAGTGGAGCGGACGGTCGAATGGTACAGCCTTCATCCACCAGGTCCGGACTCCGCCGAATGGCAGGATGACACAGCCTTGACGGCGGCCTGGAGTCTGCGACCGTGAGGGTCGATTTGAAAAGGGGCAGGGGGGGCTTGCCGGGAGGCCACAATGTGGAACCTGGTAGGTACCGTAGGCATTTCGGTTTCGTTCGAATCGTTACGGTGTCAGGTACCCTTCGTAGCCGGGGCTCAAGATGGAGTTGACGACGGCCGTGGAAACCTCGCCACCGGAGGTGTATGGGTACGCTTACGCGTGGCCATGGCTTCGCTTCTGGCTTTTCTACCTCGTCGTCACTGGCGCGCTGACCCACCTCGCGGTAGCATGGCTCGGTTGCACACGGTTGGCTCGCTGCCTGCTCTCCCTCAATTCTCCGCGGACATCCACAAAGGCAAAGAAAGGGGCGGAGAAGACACCTCAGCCTTCAGAAGAAGACCTATGGGAAGAACACCAACCATCGGAGGAAGAACGATGGGAAGAGCCGTGGGACATGGACCAGAGGGACAACGAGGACATCTACCCCTACAACCTGTTGGAATGGACACCGGAAAGAGGGATCAGAAGGAGGCGCCCCCAGGCCTCACCTTCGGAACCGGCACCTTGGAGAGCAATGGTGGACCACTTCTCACCGAGGGAGACAAGAGGCACGGAGGGGATGACGTCAGCGCCATCAACGGAGTTGGACACACCGGGGACGAGCTCACCACCGCTGAGGGAGAGGGTAGTGGCTACGAGAGACGTTATGGCTGGTTACGAGGAGGCTCAATTCGAAAGACAGTTGGCAACTGTGATGTTGGAGGAGACGAAGGGGGGGCCAATCAGATCTATGGGAGATGAATGCTTGGGATGACGAGGAGGAGGTCAATGAGACGGTGAAGGAGGGAGAAGGGAAAGCCGAAATCTTTGAGTTCCCACCTTCGCCGCCGGTCGGAAAGACTGAGAAGGAGGACGCGGAGGTTAACGCGCTGGTGCATCTGGTGAAGCGCCGGCGAAATGGGGATATGGAGGAAGCGGGAGGAGCCAGCGCCAGAAAGCGTCAGAAGAGGGAAGAAGAGCGAGGAAAAATCCAACTTCGGCATGAAGGGACTAGAGAGACGAAGCCCACGGGCCACAGGAGGCCTGACATCCCGCAGCAACCAACGATGAACCCAAAGTTGAAAGGAAATCAGAAGTGGTTGAAAGCCATTCGAACGGCAAAGATGTTCAGGTCAGGCGGGCCGAAGAACAACAGGACTCTAGTGAACTTCAAGAAAGGCTATTATGCAAACTCATCGAGGAGGGCAAGAGCATCGGTAAGGAAGACGGTGGACAAGATCTTGCTCAACCTGGGCGTGAAGGGATCCAATGAGTGCTGGACGCCAGAGACGTTGGAACAAGTAGGGGCAGTACTCAAGTCTTCAGAGTACAAGGCAGGGGTGACCTACTTGTCTGAATACAAGATCATGGCGATCGAGACGGGCGTGTACTGGTCACAGCAACTACAGAGGGCATACACCCAGGCGACGAGAGCTTTGAACAGGGCAAAAGGGCCGCCAAAGAAAGCCAAGGAGGTGGAGGAGGATAGATGGTTCACGGCATGCAAAGCGGAGCTGAACGAAGTGCAGAGGGGCGCAGTCCACTACCCCGCCTTGTTGTTTGCCTTTGCCACCACATGGATGTTGAGAGAAGTCGAATTAGCGGCGATCTATAAGGAAGACATCGTGATCGAGGAGAAGGAATTATTGGTGGCATTGACTCTACGCATCACCAAGGGTGACCAGGAGGCAAAGGGATTGAAGAGGACACTGCAATGCTCGTGCAGGGGAGAATGCAACTGGCAGAGACCGTGCCCATACAAAATCACCAAGGCCACCCTCGAAACAGTTCCCGTGGAAACAGACAAACTAGTTTGCGGCGACGGCGAAGGTGAAGTGTCGAAAGACCAGCTCATTAGCGCTTGGCGGAAGTGCTTTGGGAAAAGCATTTCGGGTCATTCGGGGAGAAGATCCGGGGCCTTGCAGTACATTAGAAAGGGTTGGCAAGTGCCGCAAGTCGCGTACCTGGGTAGATGGAAATCCAACGTGATCTTGCAATACGCCGAAGAAGCCTTAGAGACGATGCCAGTGAGGCCCAAACCCCATGGCGATGGTGGCTCCGAGATCGGCGACGTGAACGGCACGAAGGTTTTGGCCATTTCCACCATGTCAGAGCAGGACACCAAGGCGCTAGCGGAGTTGAAAGACACGGAACGCAAGTTGAAGAAGGAGATACAGTTCCTCAAAGCCACGCAGGAAAAGTTGGACGAATCGATTGTGAAATGGGAGGCGGTGTCGAAGGAGAATCATGGACTTCTTCCCCCGACGGTGATCTCACGTGGGGGTACGGTGCACGAGAACAGGAGACAACCAATCGCTTCTCCAGTTTTGGCTTGGCACACTCGTTGTGGGTGGCCGTTCGGTTCCTCCGCCTTTAGCTTTGGCTTGGACGTGTCGAAGGTCAGCTGTCAGAAATGCCTCCTACTTGCGCAGAGCAATGAGGAAAGGTGTGGCAAAGGAGGTGGATGATGGAAATGATATCCATC